CAAATCCGGACAATGTTCATAAACTGGCTAAATTTTAACACAAAGATACAGCTGTTTATATGTCACAAGGCAGATATGACTTGCATGGCAAAGCACCGATGAAGAAAATAGATTTCGTTTACAAGTAGGCCTTCGAGTCTACCAGTGTACTTATCCTTATGGTCCTACTGGCTATGTAAAAGTCACTGGAAACGTAAGGTATATTCATATCATTGTGTGAAATTAAAATACGGGTCTCCTTATTAAATTAAACGAAATAAGGTAAATACACTTTATATATGAAGAAAATAGTGTCTGCCATTGCAACCAATCTTATTTCTAGATATCTAATAAAAATATTTCTAGATTATTAGTATATTTCAAATAGGAACACAAGTCAACGTGACTAAATAGAATATGATTTTTAAAATTTTAATGTCAATCTAATGGAAAGATAACCTAGATGAGGGCCTCGAGTTCAAAGTTCAACCAGAAAGTTTTACATCATTTTATACTCCATATTCGTAATGTGATGATATGAACATAGTACTCAGGGCTAGTCTGCCCAACATCAAGCTTTGATAGTTTTACAAATTTCATACTACGCTGGATAGAAGCACATAAACAGGATACAATTATCCTTTGCTTTACCTCATATAACCAAACAATTATCGGCCTACAATCAAGGCCAATAGCCCATAAGGCTAAATTTTAATCATTGATTGCTCCACTCTAAGTTTTCTGACAGTGTTTAATTCTTCTTAATATGGCTAAATAAAAAAAAATAATTAAACATTTGATTCTCATATTAAGTGAAATTATCAAGCGGTGTATTAAACTAGCCGTTTTACTTCTAGAATTTTTATTTTGTTGCTTTTTCCTTTGTTCTAATTACGCTAGAAGATATTGTACCAAAGGCGTATACATTTAGTTTGAACTTGATAGTCTAAGTCGAATAAGCCTCGTTTGTCGAGACAATTTTTGAATATTTTTAAATAATGTGAGCTAATAATGATGAGTTCATTTCAATCATAGACAGGATAGCACTAACCTTTACTTAATGGAACTTCATATTCATCTAATTTTGGGGGCCCATAATCTCCATAAATCTCTTTGACGCTATTAGAAAATGGTCCAATGATTGCCATGTTATCTAATCTTTTTGTTGGATTCCCCATAAATGGAAGAGTTAATAACCCGCAGGAGAACTTCATTAGGACAATTGATTGTGCTGTTGCAATCTTAGACAGGGCCAGGTGCCGTCTGCTAAGCACTATCTATACAAAGAGAAAAATATCAAGAGAAGTAGAAAAAATATATAAAAGCTTGAAATTCATGTTAAGTTTTTACTGTATAATAATAAAAATGTTTACACTTAATAGCTACTAAGAAAAGGAAGGGTAAAATACTAACCTTTGAAATGGTGAACGTTTGTAAGATAGTCAATATTTGTTGACTTATTTACT